GGGGGCGGGGACGGCAGGTTCGACAGTCGGCTCAGGTTCAGCTGGTAGTTCAGCAGTAAGTGCGGGAGCAGGTATCTCTTTTGGTATCGGGGCAGGCTTAGGGGCGGTCGACTGTCGAAGCATACTGGCCCAGGTCTTGGCCTGGGGAGCTGCAGGTTTCGTCGTTTCAGGAGCAGAAGCGGCGGGCTTCTCAAGCAAAGGTTCGCTCTTGTCCTCAGCGGCATCGATAGTGGCTTCGTCCTTGGGGAAAGCGGTGGACTCTTCAGTAGGAACGGAAAGCTGTTGGCCCTCCTTGGTGTGTCGGGGGCCATTGGATGTGGGCTGGGAGGACCGGCCTCGACCACCGCGACCTCCTCGTTCCGTAGCCCTGCCTCTCCCACGGCCACCCTCAGTAGCATTGCGGCCTCCGCGAGAGGATCGAGGTGCACCCGTCGATTCGGTGGACGCGCCAGGGGTGTCCTTTACCTTCGACCGAACAGGCTTCTTTGGCTTGGAGACTTCACCCCACTGGGAAATGTTACCTAGAAATTGAGACATTAGTATTTAGTGCTTCCATCCCGTGCCATGCCGATTGTCCCATATGCGCAAGGAGAGAGGGAATGGGGTTCTGGGTAGCACATACCTTCAGCAATGCGTGTCACGGCTTCGTTCTGGTCACCATTGGTTTCTTGGAGGGCAAAAAGCACGTCGACCTCAGACCAATCAGGGAACATCTCACGGATGACTGAGGTCTTGTCGCCATATTGCCGCCGCAGCTCCCCGATGTCACCCTCATCGTCGAATGCACTGGCTGAGTCTTGCGTGGCATTAGTGTCTGCCTTGTCACCGTTTGTTCTTCGACCACCGCGACCAGCAAAACCTCCTCTGCCACCGCGACCAGAGCCTCGACCGCGCGAGGCGGATGGCCGTGAAGCGACCTCGGACATGAAGATTGGTTTGAATGAGATGAATTTGTGCGAGCAACAGAAGGAGGAACCGTCAGCTGTCCTCTGCTAGGAGCGACAAGCGGATGGTCTCGAATAGCAACACAATCCTGGTCGCGGATTGATGAAGGCGACGATTTGATTAGTGGAAGAAAGGAAATGACAAGAGGAAAACAAGTGATGGCACGTTGCGGGGGAAATCGATAGGGCGAAGCGGTTTGCCCAGACAAGAGTGAAGCGAGGTTGCAAGAGGTGAGATTGGGGAGGAAGGTTTTTGACTTTAGCGGCTGGTGACGCCCCTTTGCGCCCACCTTGGCCTGACGCGGGTCGCTGTAAGAACGAGAACACCAGCACCAGTTACCGCCCTACATACCCTGAGCACCTTACCTAAGGCGTCGTCGGCAGGTCAGTGCGGCTACGTAGCACGACCGGCTTTGTACCTCTACCGGCATTCACGATCGGGGCTCCGTACCTTTCGGCGCACAGACACGCGAGAAGATACCCAAAGCCTAATGTCTCGCTAGAAAGTGGTACATTGCCCATTTTTCCTCAGCTCCTTCATCGCCCCAGATTGCCCACCATTGTGGCAGTTGCAAGGTAGACCCATCCTAATCCAGCCACAGCTCTGCCTGTTTTGAATGTGGGGGGACTGTAGCTTCCAACTCCCTGCAACGAGTCCTCAAGTGGGAAAACGGCCTCTTCCAAAAAGTAAAACTACGATTCGTTTCCCACGATGATATGCCGTAAAGGCGAAAATGGTGCAGAGGCAAAACCTTTGCTACTTGACACAGTCGGCTGCCTATTGGGCCCCAGAAACGCCTTGCATCAGGTGGCAAGAGGGTCCCCGTACGTGCGACTTGTCAAGCCACCCACACAAGATCCGCTCCAGGTTCTGATTTGGGCGTGCATGTATGCCTGAGGAAATTGGTTCCCGGTGATGGCAATGGCTTTCTACTGTCGCACATGCTTTCTTGACCACAGGAGATGCCTCCGACTCCAAGAAAATTCCCGCCTAGGTCGAAAGTTTAGGGTTCCCAATTAGTCGAACCTGAAAGTGCGACTCAGATCTCAGCCAATCAAGATCGGAAAGGAGGGGCTCAAACTCATTCGCAGCTCCAACATGGACTGCGATTGAGGTCACCCATCACGTGAGCAATATACGTTAGCGAGGCAGACGTCGCCTTCCGAAGCCCACTCTCGCTACGACGGCTCTCGGGGTCGAAAAGGTATCACACCTCAGTGACCTGTGACCAAATATAATACGAAGACAAGCATCGCATAACGCCACTGTCAATCATTACAGGCTTTCCTTTTCAGGCGTATACACCCCCCTAGCCTGCCCATATTCAATAATTAGAATTGTTTTACTACCATGTCTTTCATTGCCCTGTAATTTGGTGAAGTCACCCAAACATGTGCGCTGTTGTCGCTCGCGAGGATTAAATTCAAAACAAGGCTAATTAGACATGCTCATATACTTGCCGAGCCCATTGTATGTTCAACTGGTACGTTTGGTCCCTCGATTGCCATTTGTTCAGGGGGTTTTACTCTCCCTCTCATTGATAGTGGTCACGTGATCCGGATTCGGTGAACCTACCTCCTATCGATATCGGTGACCCATATTCATTGCTTCGGTCAGGACTCATAGACTAAACTATTCTTGTCGTCATGTCCACCCGCTCGAACCATGAAGAGTCAGCCTATCATGACGCAACGTTAACCAATCCTCATCCTCATCCTCAACAGCATCCAGCTCGTGAAAGCGATCAATTGATCTAGAACAATGCTTGTTTGCTAGCTACATATACGTCAGCTCAGCTTAGAAGCTCTCTGCAGCGACGACCCGAAAAACATGCACTCCACCAAGGCTGTTCACGCCTTTAAGAATCTCTTTTCTCGCTATCACGAACCGACAGCCCTCTCCAGAACACAAGCGCAAAAGCTCCTGGAAGGTCTCAAATCTTCGTTTCGAGATCAACTAGACCGAGAACATGGCCACAACGTTAGCGACATCAAGAGAACCAAGCTAGCAGCCCCGACCAACCCAACAGAACTCAGAACCTCTCCGACCGATCAGCATTTGAAGACGTTGCTTTCAAATCCCCTGTTTAGCTACAATGAGCCCACGGATAACCCCCCACTGGGTTCCGCTCTAATTCCAAACCAACGGGACCCGATGGATGTCTTTGATCATGCCGTATCAAAAGGAATGATGACGATCCGAGCGGCAACTGGCTGTTTAATAGCGAAACGCAAGCAAATGAAAGCTACACAAGGGGATTTATCTGTACTGGATGGCTCCGATACTGCCCTGCGGGTTCTCCGCTGGATACGATCGTCTACGTCAAATAACAACCTAGACTTCTTAGATAACAAATCCTTCGTCAATGCCCTCATGCCATTCTTAATATCAGAAGGCCTCGAAAATGTCGCATGGGAATGGGTCACCCGGTCCTTGCGCTCTGCTGCGGAAGACCCAAACCACACAGCTCAACATGGCAGAGCCGAATTTGTTCTCAGCAACTTGGTTGCAGTGAAAGGGCTACCCCAATACGGAGACTTGAACGCCGCCATCGTGACTCTGTTACGTGCACAAAATGCTTACCAAGCAAGTCCTTTCCTCTCAGAACTGCTTTGGAAGCCATGGCGATCAATATCATGGCTCTCCACCGTCGAGTCACATTCGAGGACGGCGCCAAACGAGATCCTTTACAATGCACATGTCGCAACAGCCGAGAAGTTCGCTTCCTCGGTGGCAGTCGAACAGGCACACTTGAGCTTATGGCATCCCACTCACCCCAGTGTGAACCAGGCACTCAGTCTCTTCCGCGACACCGGTAAGATGGACGGGGTGATGAGATCGATCAGCAAAGAGGGGAGGTACTCCTCTAAGAATAACAGGATGAAGCTGGGCCAGTGGCTCGTTGTTCTTGGCCACGATACCGTGGATGTGCTTGCTCGATCTGGACGGGCCCGTGAAGCCAAGGAGGTGGCTGAACTTCTCAAGATGGAACTATCAGACTATCACCACCAACACCAGACACTACAACTCACTTGAGACGATGATTTACTTTCAATTCAAAGAAAAAAATCGCTTCATGCCATCTGAAGATAGCAAATATCGCAAACAAGCGGGATATGGTTACTACCGTCTAACCAGACCAACTTGACTTTTGCAAGGATGGCCACTCTCTGCTCAAGTCACGACTTACACTCGTGCCAAAAACAAACATCAGCCTCGCAAGACTTGGCTTGCTGCTCCTCCTTGGAATAGAGGATGGCAGGCACGTGGATATCACCCACGGCTCAATACCGATCAGGTTCCCTTCACGCATTTAACCCGCTTGATGCGCGGTACCAAATGCCAAACCAAGGACTGCAGCGGCACAATTGATACCCAACACATTTTTGTTTTCCATGTATATTTCAGTATATTAACGAACATATGTGAGCTAAGAAGATAAAAAAAAGTTAGGTCAACCTTAACAACTGGGAGGAATCATTGTGGAGAAATATGCAATATAGCCGCCTTGACGCAGTTGAGCTATTAGCAAAAATCAAGAGCCATCCCGAGAGTTCGTTATAATATACATTCGAAAGTACGAATATCTAGGCGCGAACCTTCTACTTGGCTTCCAGGATGATCCTTGGTTTTTTGCTCGGCTTTATCAGGGTTGGCTATATGGCATGTGGTCCCAAATTGTGTCACAGCTATTCGAGTTGACCCAGACTTTTTCTTCCTATTGGTTCACACATATCATAACGAGATCAACGCACATAGCACTACGATAACAATACGACACTCTTATCTTGTGATTTCTTCGTTTCAAATAGTGATAGCCTGTCTATTTTCAAGACTACTAGGAGGGTATATGCATATATACTTTTTCTTCATCATGGCGTAACATGTATCTTTTCAACCAAAATCGAAATCTGCTAAACGAGCACCAGTATGGGCCATCCACATCGTAGTTCGGGTCTTTTAACTTTTGACATGTCTAATCCGTAAAGGGTAGCAAGCAAAAAACGCCAAAATACACACATTTTAATCTTCTTCATCAAAGGAGGATAAGGGGCTCAAGCAGGGCCAGCCTCGTCCTCGTCCTCGACCTCGAAAACGCCGGAAATGTCCCATCGATCGCCCTTGGCGCTTTGGCTGACGTACTTGACAAATTTGAGAACCCCGCTATCCCGGAGGACGAGGGTGAGCTTGTTCCAGGCGGCATTCTGGTAGAAGAGGATGTTGTCGTCGTCGGCGGCGGCGGTGTTGTAGACCGCCGCGTCCTCGTCTGCGTCGTCGGCACCGGCCATGTAGACTTCGTGGCCACCGACGTCGTCTTCCTCGGGTGGATTAACGTCCGGCTTGGCCTTCTCTTTCCCCTTGCCATTTGTGCTGGCCGCCCCGCCATCCTGTTCCTCGGCGTCTTCTTCATCTTCTTCTTCGTCCTCTTCTTCTTCCTCGCCCCAGCCAGAAGAGGGTGTGATACCAAGGTTAAACTCAAGTCGGGCCTTGCCGTCGTGGCCGGTGGCCAGTGTGTAATCTTTTCCGGGCCGGAAACGACGGGCGATAATGTCATGCGCCTCAATGGTCGTGCCGGTTGCCAGTTGGAGCCAGTGGCGGAACTGGCGACTGGGCAAGAACACATCAAGAAGCTCTGTCAGGGGAGACTCGTCCTGCGACGTGCGAATGCCGTCTGGGCCGTTGGGGTGTTGGTAAAGATAGCGGAGCTTGTGAGGTGGTCGCGCTACCTTCCAAGGTGTGGTCTTTTCCAGCTCGGCGCTGTCTTCAGGAAGAGGCTTCTTGTCCTGTTCGGAAATGTAGTCTTTGAGCTTCTGGGAGAAACTCTTGGACAGGATATCTGTCAGTGTGATGCTAGAGTTTTCCTCGAAATGCTCGGAGACCTGCTCCAGAAGGTCGGGGGTCAGGTAGTTTGGCGAGATGTACTTGAGCAAGAACTCGAGGTCCGCCTCTTCAAACTCCGAATCGCTGGAGGCTGGCTTCTCGACCTTGACAGGGGAAGCCTTGGGGGTGTCGTACTGCGCGGGGTTGCCCTGCAGCTGCATCAAGCCGCTGTTCTTGGCGTTCCTCTCCTCCTCGCCTTTAATGTACCCATCCTCACCGAGCTGGGGGATATGGAACCAGCCGCTGATGGCCATCCTGACGCGGCCGCCATCCTTCTCGAGCTGCTCGGCAGACTCGGCGCGGTACACTTCCTCGACGTCGTGGAAGCTCTCACCCGGTTGGACGGCGAAGAAGCTGAGCTGGTTCCAGGCGGGGGGAATCACCTTGGATGGGTCAGGAAGAGGCGTCTTTGCGACCTCGCCGTCCTTGCCCTCGATCTCCTGGACGGGGAACAGGCGCAGCGCACCACCCCACTCAGGTTTCCAGGTGGTGTCTGGATCAACAAGGTAGAGAATGTAGCTGACTCTGCGGCTGCCGATGACGTCGTCATGGCAGAGGAGGAAGCACCCGGGGGTGTAGATGTTGATAGCCAGATCCGTCTTCTTCCCGCTCAACGGGCCGCAATTCGTGATGTGGGACACATAGTTGCGAAACGTCTCCGAGTAGATGGCATCGCGAAGGGACTTGAGCGACGGCAGCTTGGAGAGCGACTCATCGTCCAAGCCGTCGAGGTTGGCAAGGTCGCCGGACTGGTGGATCTTGTAGATGTCGGTTTCCTTGGGAGTGAAACTGACGTTTTCCCTGATCTCGGTGCGTACGTTGCGGAGCAGCTGGTCGTCGACGAGCTGGTGGATCACAGCATGCTTGTAAGGCGCGGAATTGGCGTATTCCGCGGTGTAGGCGTCGGTCACATCCTGGTCAAAGAGACCCTTGCGGAATCGCTCCTTGGCTTTTTCGGGAGAGAGGGCTGGAGGACAATGGCTTGTTAGCGGGAGAGCGCTGGAAGAAGTGGCGATGGCTGCCGCAGAGCTCGGGGAGGGCGGGATTCGCAGCTAGCGACAAAGAACGGTGTTGATGGCTTACAAGTCTTGGGTTTCTTCAGGCCGATGTCGCTCCGGCCGTTCTGGGAGGTTGCCTCGGCCTTGCGCTTCATTTTGGAAGATGTCGACAGAATCAATTGCTCTGTCACGCAAACTGGGAACAAGAGGGAAGAGGAATTGGATGGTACAGGAGGGGAAAACTCGGGATCGGTGCTGGACCGCAGTGTGGGCAGTGGTCTTATATCGCAGAATTTTTATTTTTTTCTCCAGCACTCGCGCACCACCCTGGAGCTCCCAAACCCGTCCTCAGGCCATGGTCATCATCGCATGATCGGATCCCTCACCCCCTCCTCATATGTAGGTAAAATCCTTATTTGCGAGACGGCCTAGTCCTTGTTCCTATCCATCCGATAAGTTCCTTCTTTTTACAGACAATTCGCCCCAGAGCCGGCCTATGGGGATCGGTAGACCGACACTTGGTGTATTCCGTTGCATCTGAAAAGCATCCGCCATGCAGCCCAGGCGGCTACACAGCCCACCACACATCCCATTCTCACTCTTGGGCCTCTGAGGACAATCCCCCCCCCTCCTTGACAGACCAACAGTCGATGTTGCGGTCAGTAAGCGCTATTGGCCGCATCAACGTCCACACCAGCAGCCATGTACCCCTCTTGGCCCTCTCACAGGTAGGAAGCCGCTAGTTTGCTGACTGGCTGGCTCATACAGGCGACTCTACGAAGCTTGATGATCAATTGGGCCTGCGAGTACCTTCCCTCTCTCGCTATATCTTCAGTTTATAGGCGAGAAGGCGGGAGGCTGGCATCGTGCATATAGCGTCAACTAGTTGGATACCTTCTTCCATTGAATTGGCTACCGCATGCTAAAGCCAGATGGACCAGTGGCTACTCCTGTGAAGATTGCATGCATCGTACGCTCACCTACTGCTTCGCCGCAGAGCCATGGATATTAGACATAAAGGGTAGGTGGTACAATAATCATTAAGACACTTAGTAACCCAAGTACCACCTACAATATAACGATTCCCGCCTCATTACTTTCGCTAACCGACCAAAGAACGACATGATTGAAATTTGAATTACATGGTAAAATGTAGAGTGAGAGCAGCCCAAGGATGCTCACTTATTTCCCATGCCACCAGCCCGGGCGTTCCCGCTTCAGGTTCTTTGCGCTCGTACTCCATCACACAACCCTCTCTACAGAGCAAAGAGCAGGGCCAGAGCCGCGCCAATCGAGCCCGAGAAAGGAGTGAGCCCAGAAGCCGCGCCGGTGCCGGACTGCTGCGAAGCCGATTGCGTAGTCGTCGAGGTGCTCTGGGTAGTGGTCGTTGCCGAGTTGGAGGCGGCGGAGGCTGATGCGCTGCCGCTGCCGCTGCTGGCACTGGCGCTGGATGAACCGCTGGCGCTGGCGCTGCCGGAAGTGGTGGAAGAGCCGGACTTGCACACAACCTCGTCGGGGATGGTCACGTCCGCGGTAGAGCAGATCTGCTTAGCGAAGGTGACGGCGGCGCTCTTGCCGGCCGCGTCGCAGTCCTTGTCGAGGCAGCAGGCGATGCCGTCGAGGAACTCGGTGTTGCTGCAGATACACTTGATGTCGAGCTGGGCGCAGTTGGCGATCTGGGTTCCGGTGGTGTACTGGACGAGACAGGATTTCTGTTATTGTCGAAAAGATGTCATGTTAGCTCGCTACCCTCGGCCCCCCTTCAGTTGGATTGATGGCGAGAGAGGGACTCTTCCTTACAGCGCAGTCAGGGACGTCCTCAAGCTGGGCAGAGGCAAAGCCCGCGGCAAGGGCCAGGACGATTGGGGTGGCAATGAACTTCATTTTCGCAGGGCAAATTGGCTGGCTAAATTGAGGATATTGGACTGTGAGGAGAGGTGAAGGGACAGAGTAGGAATGGAAAGCAAGTTGGGACGCGACGATCAGGTCTGGGGCTGACAACTAGCTCCCGGTCGCTCTCTTTAATATCTACTAGTACCTGGGCATGGAACAATTACGGTAGGCTACTGTAGGATCGAGGGAGGCCGGCAAGTATCTTTCTCAGCCCAGCCATGATAATGAATTTATTAGGTCCTGTCATCCTGCAGGCAATAATATGGATTGATGGCAGTCTCTCGATGGATCTAAACCCTATTTGGGGCTGACGACTCCACTTCCGAGTGATCCCGGTTTAATTGGCTGCCTAGTCGAGAAGTCAGGTCTTGAAGCGCGCCACTTCAAGAGTCTGTTCAAGGCACGAGACAGGAGAAAAGCGGGTATTGAAGAGCAGCCCCGGACTCAGATTGGTGCTAATAATCCCCAGCTGCTCCACCCCAAAGTTTCTGGCTCGAGCAGCCCAGTGGAACTAACAATTGCCTAGGGAACCCGCGGCATCGCAGTCTGGGGCAAACCTGAGGTCTGTATGTGTATGTTCGTGTGCGCATGGTTTGGTTTGTTTGTTGCCCTGCTATGTACCATTGGGTTGTTATGTGGGTGAGACTATGCGGTTGGTGGACGCATTACCTGACCACCACACCAAATGGAACCCCTCTCCCAAACTTCCCTGCCTGCAGGGAATCGCTTCTGTATGTAGAACTCCTCCTCGGAACCGCTGGTTGAGAACCAACTTGAGCGCGGGTGTCGCATTGGAATCCTTAGACCTCCGATGGGTTGCTTCCCCCCTCCAGTTCGAAATTGGCCCCCTGTTTCAAGATTGGCCATCTCGATCTTTACTGCCAACGAGGTTCACACCCTTTTCCCTTGCTTCAGAAGATCCGATACTTTTGGCGGTAGCACCAATGCACCCCTGTCGTTTCGACGATAGAAGTCTACCAATGATACTGCTGTCTTCTCGGGCAGGTCCTCATGGATGAAATGACCTGCCTCGGGAAACACCTGAAGTGCATACTTGCCTAAGAGAATGATGGCCAGCATTAGCATTTGATTATTGCAGACGGGGAGCTCATAAAACACGTTCCCGAAGATACCGGGAGGGTTTCTCACCTTGCATTTGGCCGATTGTCAGTTCCGTATCAAGTCGATCAGTGCCCGCTAGAAGAAGTAGTTTACCCCCCTTGGCACCAAGAAACTTTTTGCTAAGCCCAACGAACCAGTCCTCCCAGAATGGTTGTGATGCTGCGAGGTTGGTCCTCCATTTCCAGGGCCTGGTGTCGTTCTCTTGCGGGTTTTCTGGCAATACCAGAAGAGCAGGAACAGAAGTACGAGCTGAGATGGAGTTCCTTATTGTTCGGGACCTCACGTGCCACTCTATTCCAGCCTCCAATGAGACGAAGCCCCCGGGCCGTGTTGAGAGATAGGTCTGCATGCTCTGCAGGGCATCCATTGCCGAGCCCTCGACCACATCAAGGACTGCATAACCCAGTAGAGAAGTTCCCAGTTTACCTGATTTCGCCAGCTCCGTGACGACGGCGCCGCCTAGTGAATGCCCAACCAGCATGATAGGGGGTAGTTCTTGCCATCTCATCTCGGATTTAGTTAATTGAATGACTGTATAGAGGTCTGAGAAGAGTGTTTCGAGACGAAGATCCAGGTCTGGGCCTTCGGGGGCGGTAGTTGAACCATGGCCTCGACAGTCAACCGCCAAAATCCCCGCTGCCGGGAGCCTCTTCCTTATTTCTGAGCTCACCACCGCGAATGAGAGCCCCGAGGATCCGGCCCCGTGGTGCATGACAAACAGCGGTCCTTTTTCAACCGGTGAGCTCAGATATGCATGATAGACTATGCCGGGATTTTCTGGCTGGCGAAGGTAGAGCTCTCGTTCAAAATACGTTGTCCACGGTATTTGTTCAAGGGTTCTGCCCCGTGCGAAACTGTGCCTCTCTCTTCAGCCTCTCACGCCACTAGTGGTATGAATACCTAGTACTTTTCAGGTTGGTGTCGAACTCACCTCTGAGGTCTGGCGAAAAGCTTTTGGTTGGGCGATGGGATGATGGTTCCTGTTGATGAAACCGAAGAGGCAGAGGACGAATCATCGTCCATTTGATCTGGAAGATCGCCCAACTGGTCAGACTCCTGGTATTCATCTTCCTCAATGAAAACGTCTTGGGGGAATCCCACTTTCTGCCTTGCCCAGGCACGTTGTAGCTCGCTCATTTCAGGGGTTCTGGTATAGAAGGAAGGGAAACTCAGAAGTGCGCTTTGGCTCCGTCCATTTCAGGCCTGCAATGTCTGGCTGGTCGGCGGAGCAGGAATTGGCTCAGTTGACCCCGTGTTGCCACTGAATGTCCAGTTTAACTTTTATGGATGGCCTGCATAGGAAGATGGAAGGAGATCAAAGAAACCTGCGTCCTCCCGTCTGATGCTAGTCCGTCAATCAACCATATACAAACGGCCAGGTGCAATGCGTAGGATGTTGTTGGGTGACAATGCAGCTTAGGTTAGGTACCGGTCCTGGGTGAGCTGATAGGGGATCAACCCCACATAGAATTTTCAATGGATCTCGCTATCTATTCCGCAATGGCAGTCACGCTACAGTATTGGATATTCGTATGTTCTCGTACGGCACGGGCATGTTGGGTCGATCCAATAGCTTCCAGCTCCCAACGAGAAAAGGCATTACTAAGTCAGTGGCTAGGGAACTTGACGCAATTGTGGCAAAAGGCAACGAGCCCCCAAACCGAGGTTGCCTCATCAACCCGCCAAGCTGCCTAATCCAGGGACTGGCGGTTAAATGGCACTGCCCTTTACTTTATGGCGTTGACATGGCGGGAACGAAGGATAAGTCCATGGCCGGGAATCCATTGCAAATGATTATAAAGCGAAGAAGAAGAAAAGACGCAGGAGCCGGCAGTCCCTCTTTCTTCTCTTTCCTCATATTCACACGCACAGCATTTAATTGGCGGTGATCGCATCTCCTTCCTCCAATTGGCTATCAAAAGACCTTGCGTATTAGAGGACATAGAAATATCTTACTTGCCTACCACGCGGAGCCACCTTAGTAGGAAAGGGAATAGGGATTTGGGCCTGTTTCTTCCAGAGAATGAAGGGAGGAAATAGATCTGCTCCATTTCACAAGTGCCAACTCAGCCTCATGCTCGCAACCCCTCTTCATTTCAGGAAGACATCTTGCATTGTAGATTCATAAGCCTTGGTTCCTTGGCAACCGAGAAAATTTTTCTCGAACGACAGAGAATTTGGGAGTAAAGATAGCCATATGCCATTCATTTGGTCGATTAATACACGTGCACAAAAGTAACAGTATGTGTAATTAAAAATCGACATATCGCCAGGCTGTAGATATATCATAAATGACGAGGCGGCCGCATCGACCGAACGAGAATGGGAGGAGCGTTAGCCATGAGATGATGTCTTGGTTTTATTGAATATAATGACACTCGTGTGCTGCATTATTTGACTCAGGCATGCTTTTCCTTGTGTCAACTCCCCGCAGCGCCAAAAGGCGGCAGAGATGCTAGTACGACGTGGACAAATTCCCTCCGACACAGATGGACCAATCGGTAGGCATGCGGCTTGTCATATCTCCTCTGCATGTGTGTAGTTGTAGCTCGAGACATTTGCCACGCAACTACATAAGACCCACGCAGCGATACTAGTCTCTGAGCGGGAAGAGGTGGTTGTAAAACCACCCCATGGCAGATGAATGCCAACCTCCAGGTCTCACCGAGAATGATTAAGAGCCAGTGCTTGGATCCTTGGCCACGACGGCATACTCTTTCCGGAATAAACGCCTCGTCATGCAGCTAGGCGACTTGATCAGTTCCCAGCTGATAGAAGTCGTTACCTATTGTCATACAAGTAGGTATCTGAGCGTGCTGAGTGGGAACGGATAGCGCCTCTTCCGTGACAAGGTTGGGTTCTGTTGCTTTGAAATACAGGCAAGCAGCTTGGGCAGCTTGGCAGCGTCATTGGGTTAGCTCCGTGTGTGGTTTCAAACAGCTTGTTCCAGCAGCAGTAATGATTGGCTAGTGACGAGGGTGCCGAAACCAAAGGAGCGATTGTTCCTCCTGGCAAGGAGGCTGAGCGGGATACCTACCCAGGGTCGGCCGGCCACCAAACCAAAGCCTCCTGCGAAACCCCGCGAACTATGGTGGGCAGAGGTGATGACATGCAGACCAAGGTTGAGAATCCATCTCGGTGAATTCCACCCTTCAAACAAGGTGTTTCATGAGAACGGCAGAATACTCTGTTGGAAGGTGCCGGGCAAGACCTACAACTGCTTATCCGACCACTGAGTTTTCGGGTTAGTACTTGGCAGGTACCAACGAGAGGTCCGGACTTCCTAATGAGCTGGCCAGTCCACCCAAACTGCCCCACAAGAAACAGACTGGGCACCGCTCTGCGCATGGCCGTTCTTTCTTGTGACGTATAGAACTTCTTCCATCATGCGCTACGGGGCATTTGGCGTCTTTTCCTGTCAAGTTACACGAGGGAAAAGTGATGCATGATCGACGTTAGCTGTTCGGTCGCTCATAGCCGACGGGACCTCTCGAACCCTGCAATAAACCCCTGTGACCCCACAGTGCGATGGAGCAGTCTGCTCCCGCCAGCGTCCCGCCAGCAGACTCAACAAAACAGAGAACACACCCAGAGCAACTTCTATTGCCAGCACGCAGGAACTCAATGGGTTAGGAAGATCGGGCTCCCCATTGGAAAAAACCGGAAGTATGCCTACATAGAGAATGTGATGTTCGCATCCCTGGCAAGGGGGGGGGAAACTCATCACCCTCTGAGGCATCGGGTAGGTGGTGGTTTTTCATGGGACGCACGGACATACCGAAAGGAATTGCAACAAGATGCCTCATCCACGCACAATTCTCGGGAGGCAGGAGTTTATTGATGCGGAGAGCCCGTTTATAGCCAGGCTCAAAGGTTCCTTTTTCTTGTTCCCTCGGGCTGGCCGGTCCAGACCAAGGTCAGTTCGATCCAGCTGCATGTCCGATCACGTTATGGCTTTGCAAGGAAAAAAGGAAGCATGTGTGAATGTCGCTGATTCTCCCAAGGGTTTCCGATCGGCCGCCTTTCCGAGGTGTGATCGGCTTGCTTGCCCAAATCTACCTCCCACTCGAGGTCTGAGAACATGGTGTGTGCTGATCAACGAGGGAAATGAATAAGGCCAGAAACTTGCTCAATTCAGATTTGAGGTACTTTGTCCTGTTTGCCTCGAGGCCTAGACCAGTTGCTGCAGCAAATATCCCTTGCACAAACCTGTGTAAGACTTGCTGCATTCTTAAACGGCATCAACCATATCCACACTAGCCCGCCGTCATCAGCTTTGCAGCTGAGTACCGATGCACTCAGCCCTGTCTAGGGATGTCTGATTAATCCTCTCTCTTTCCTTCTCTTTCCATTTTCTTTGCTTTTTCCTTTTTGGGAACGGCTAAGCGAAAGGGGGATGAAAACCTTGGATACATTTTGTACCGGAGAGAATGATGACGTTCGTTGCAGGACGCTCATCTCCGCGTATACCTGCGTATGGCAGAGCATGGCGCGGTCAATATGGACTGGCCGATCCTACTCCCCCATGTACGCACAAAAATGCTTGTCTAGGCATGCAAGAAAGTCTTGGAGCCCGAGAGTGCTGCCAATGTTTCCCCAGGCTGCCATATCTTGAGCACTGGGAACAGGGGTCATGGCACGAGAGCGAATGGCTCTCATTCAAGGGGACCCTGATATTAACCTGCAGCAATGCATGTACCAACCACACTCCAGAGCACCCAAGCGCGCCGTCTTTTATATTAAACTGAATCTGCCAGTGACCAAATCGTCCTAGGGCTTTGACCTCAGCAGACCTGCTGAGCCGGTACTTTGACCATGACCTGATCTGCATTTCCACTCCAACCATTGACGCGACATCCTCTTGGACTACGTACCTAGTAGGTGGTCCTTTGGAGACTCCGAAGCCGAGGCTGGCATTGGACCGTTCAAACAAGCCCCTTGATCATATTACTACTTCCCGATGATCAAACCTTCCCGAAAGCTAGCCATGCTGTTTCGTCTGGGGTTCTGACAAGCTTAGTCTGCCTCCTGTTGCTCCACGCGATTGCATCTTGTTCCTGTAAAAACTCGCTTCCTGGCTGCCTCCTATTACACCACTGCCCCCAGTGTGTCAACTCCGCCTCAACAAGGAAGGCAAGCGGGAAAAGTAGAGGGAAATACGAGATCTTGGGAAAATTTCGATCTGGTATTTTTACACGCCCCTTACTTTATTATGCTTTGCCTGCCTTCATATGCAGGACAGGAACGCCCCTGAGTGGCTGCTCGAATAATGAACAATAAGAGTCAGCGCACGGCAAATTCATTCATCAGCACTGGCCCCCAGCACGCACGTTGTTAGTCGAGCCACATGGCCTTTCATTGATTCCTCAGAGAAGAAAAGACGAAATTTCACTCCCAATCGGCCGCCGAGAACGGAGGAGGTTCATAACTCCCCCCCTCCCCAAACATCGGGCTCATCTAAGCACCCCCCTCCCCCCTCCTTCGGCAGTTACTCCCAGAGTCTCGTGGAGAACTGTCTCAATCATTCTGGTCGTTCTAGCTTTGCATCGACCACGGCCTGAGCGTGCATATTTATGTCACCGAGGTCACTTTTTTGAGAGGGACATCTCTGAGTCGACTGGATCTGTAGCCCCTGGAGATACAACAAGCGTCCTGTCTCTAATCATACCACCCTTGTTCATAGTGCCAAGCCACCCATCTGGCCGTCTGCGCTGAATCCATCGACGAAAAACTGACCTGCAGACGTAGGCACTCTTCGGCCAATCACAATTACAAGGAACGGGCAGTTGGACGAATCTGGCATTGAATCATTTGCCACTCCAATCGTCTGGCCAGTCCCCAGCCCTCTTAGGCTGAGTACTTGTAGCTGAAAGAAAACCCCAATCATATATCAACGCATGACGGCGTCCAGGCAGTAGCGCTTTCCAACCTCCTGTGGTAAAAATCTTTTCCTCTACACCTTGGGAGCACATTATAGCTCTCTACTTCTTGGTAAGATTGCATTCCCAGTCATCCCAACCCAACGTAATTACACTTATCATATCTGATTCTCACCATTGACCAGGCCAGGGTGACATCTTCCGGCCTCATCCGCCTCGGCCCTCGCATATCTGACAGAGTATTGTAAGCTGGGCGCCACCTGGCGTTTCGAAAGCGCAGAAAGCGCACGCGCTTTCTGCTGGCCTCTGGTTGCTAAGTCTTGTATCCGCACTTCTCTAGCTCCCAGAGGAGAAACGACACCCTTGAGAGCTTCACCGGAACCTAAAGCGGATAAGATGTCTCGTGGATACCCTGGTCCGCCTCCAGACTATGCTCCGGGATATGGCAATCCCGAGTATGCTCATCCTCCTGATGGTGTCGTGCAATCGAGGCTTCCATCGTCAACAGATTCCAACCTCAACTGGTATATGGACCCATCACATCCAAACTCAGAATACGCTACGAGCTCGCACATGCACGGGGCACCTGGCAGTCAATCACTATCCAGCTATGCCGGCGAGAAGAGAAGGAATAAATTAGGTTATCACCGTACCTCTGTGGCATGCAGTAAGTTACAAGCATCGTGTTCATCATGGGGATTTCAAACCTTCTAATGCTATCCAAATACATAAGATCATTGCCGTCGACGAAAAATTCGATGTATTCCATCGCCATCCGACTTTCACGGACGGTGCACAAACTGCATCCGATTGAAAAAGGAGTGTAGCTTTATCCCTACCGATCAACAAGCAAGCGAACAGTCCAGATCATATGATCCGCATTCCGATGGCGGGATTGCTTCGAATACATCCTCTCCAGGCCCTCCCGGGATGGAAACGAATTCAGACTATTCGAGTCATGTTCACCCTGCCTTCCGTTCAGAGCCTCTCTCCCCGTGGTCACAGCCTGATGACCGCAACCCAACTAGTAAGTTCCCGCGCTCGAGATGATGACATGAAACGGGTTTCGAACTTGGCTGAACTCTCAAAAGTCAGTAGGGGTGGGATGCACGCTGATAGCCGCTTCGACTTTGGCGACCAGACATCCCGAGGTTATGCGCCGACAAGTCAAAATGCACCGATGCATCTCGGTGCTACCAATGCGAACGAACATTGGAGACGACAGCATTCTGGCTCCACCACGAACGATCCAGGGCAAGGGAGGTCATTTGCCCCTGGAACAGCCCCCCGGCAAGATTTGGGATGGAGAGGGCCGTTACCTCCAGCACCCGTTTTTGGGGACAAGGCCATGGGAAGCTCTGGGCGTATAGGAAGTGCCCCTTTACGTCCAGGCCTTGATGCAAACCCCCCCTCTGCCCCGAATTACGCAGATGCAAGTAACGCGCCAATGGGGGCACCGATGCATGACGTGCCTATCCCATATCCGCCCATGCAGCCAAGACCGTTGCCCTCGCAATCATTGGGAAGATGGCACCGCCAAGATTCTGCTTCTGAACCTCAGTCAGGCTATCCACCATGGATGTACCCACACGGCAGTTCGGGGAATGCAATGCCTGGCAATGGCTCCTCGGAGAACTGATCCGCGTAGCAAAGTGGCTGGCTCATAAATCATGGAGAAACTCAACCTGTACACGAAAACAGCACAAAATAACGGGGGATCAAATATCTCAATTTATTATCCAAGTGCATCTTGCAACGCGAAATATACACTCATTGTGTATGGGAGGTGGGCTGGTAGGGGTAGACATTGAGGGGGAAAACAAGGAATAAGTGATAGAGTTGGAACATTTGATATTGGCTGGCTTGAGGAATATTTGCATGGCGAAGGTAAAATGGTCACGGCAAGCGGAAAAGTTTTGAGAATTAGTTATTGGTATCTTCTAATCTACGAGGGTCAATGTCGAACTGGCTCGCATGTTCTCGACAAGGTTCCTGAACCTCGATCAATACCAAGCACAACAGAGATTGATAATCGCCATTGCCTCAGTAGAATTCAAGAAATGTTCTAGACGGAAATATATATTGAGATACTGGATAACAACAGAATTAAGATGACCTCTATACACTGTGTTACCTACGCTTCTCGCGAGACCGGGGGTTGTCCCTTCTTGGATCGGTGAGAATGGCGCATGCGATACGGGCCGTGCCATCGTGGGTTCAGATTATCTTCCCCGAGGTGCTATAGAAAATGAGGTGAATGGGGTCATGTTTACACGAATTAAGCTATGGCGAAGTTATATCGCCGCCTTATTCCTTGTAAGATGGATCTGCATCAATTTCCTAACCGAGAGTAAGTCATTGAACTTGGCTTTCTCTTCAGAAAGAAGTATACATATGCTCTCGGCTTGTCTTAAGGCGGTTTATGAATCAATAGTCCAAAGATCTTTGTGTAGACACAATGAGAGCAAGCCGTGGCGCAGTAGATGCCAAAATACGTAGGCAAAGTCCAGCGATTGTCTCAAGTACAAAGGAGAGGTCCTCATTCCTACAACGAAAAAGGAAGGGAAGAAGAAGACAACCTGTTCACATACACCAAAGTCACATCCACAATTATACGCAGTTATTGTTCTCCAGAGTCTTACACCGCCCGACCCGGGTCAAGCGCAGGAAATGACGCTGGATACACCGTAATCCTAGTGAGTGGTGCAGAGTGAAAGGCTACGCATTGGCCCGTTCAAGTAGCAAGCGGGAGATTGATGACCAGCAATGTAGACAATGGTCCGGCTAGCTGGAATACACGAGTGGCGGCGGGCCAGTCTGCCAACGTACCTCTTTTCTTCAGTCTGTCTCAACAAAAACAAAGCAAAAAGTGAAATCGAAGGAGGCTTCTCCCAGTATTTCTAGACGGGTGCCACCTCGCGGTTGGGAATCTGTCTGTTACTTGACCATAGATTCTTTCCCGCAACGCACTGCTCCCCTACTTTCCTATTATCCATATACATTCTTGGAGTAATTGCCAACTCAACGTTTCTTCGTTCGAAGTCACCGCGTCGATCAAGATCTCGCCAGATACTCGAGAATAAAGGGCCCCGTATTTACCACAGCCATGCCCAAGTTACCAAACGAGATCTTGAACCAAGTCTTTGAAAACGCCCGTTTGGCTGAAGTCAGTTTTGTTAAACTCTTGCGAGTCGAAGAAGCTGAGGGCGAGCTTAAATTCAGCTGGTGCGGCCAGCATGTCTTTACTGAAGCCACCTTCCCCAGGTTCGACCCGGCTTCTCTAGAGCATGGTCCCTTTGAAGAACTGAACGAGGAAGTTTCTCGAATTAGGCGCATAGAAGACTGGTGGCACGAGAGGCGCCCTACCAAGGCTCCTCCTCTGCATCCCAAGGCTTCTTTGCATCCCAAGGCGCCACTTCGTTGGACGAATGCGGCAGCTCGACGCATCTCCCTCGGAGACAACCCCGTTGTGCTCCCTATACAAATGGGAATACCGGACGAGTTGGAACACAAAGAAGATTACTTCATAAAACCCTCGGAGTTCGCTGCGCTCAGGACCTCACAGATAACTTTAAACCCAGCCTTGGACATACTCTGTCTTCAAGTGGGAAACGTGTTTGACAGCTTCCCTAGTGAGAATGGCTCCAAGCCTACCGTGCAACTCTCGGTAGGTCACCCCGGCACAGCCCGAATTTCGAACCTGGCTGTTGAATTTCACGGGCCAACAACGCGAGAGTGGTGTCAATCCTGTCGCGATAGATTCGGCGATGGGGCCAATGGGAATCCGGTAGCCTTTGTTCATAACCCGGACGACTACTGCCGCAAGGAGGTACACGTCCCGCGCTGCAAGGGGCCATGTGCCGGGTGTGAAGATGTCGAGACATATAACGAAGCCGTCAATTACCACCACCCGGTATACGAACTGCTGGCCCAGTTTCCCGCGGTACGCACCCTCTTCTTGATAGACTGGGCTTATGAGCCCGTGGGTGCCGGCCCTGACCCGTCCACCGCCCACGCCTCCAACGGTGACTACGACTTCTTCCTGGTGGAGGAAGGCGCAGGGAAGGAGAGATGGCGAGCCGAGCGCCCATGTCGTTTCGAGTCGCTGTATTGCGCCGAAAGCATAGAGGAGGGCTTCGTGTGGGATCAAGAAGTAACGGAGGCTGACTTACGGCAGGACTTGAAGTTCTTGGACGACAAGCTGGACTCTCTGAAGGATTCGGGGCAAGAAACCAACGAGGATAGAGCAGAGCTGGAGAAAAGGGCTCGAGGCTTAACGCGGGAACTGGATGTCGTTGCGAAGAAGGCAGCGAACCCGTTGAGATGCCAGGTCCTGGCTGCGGTGAAAAAGCAGAGACCCTCTGCCTAGGAGAATGCGACGGATAGAGTTGCAGGGAGCAATGGCCAGGCCGCAAACAGGGGGCAGGATGGCAGCAGATATGGCCATGAGACGCAAGCAAAACGGAGAGCATAGGATATGCTGGGGAGGGCCAAAGAGACGGAGGGAGCCAAAGAGACGGGGTGATAGGAGCAAAATGTATGCTATATTGTAGATTGACACGGAATCCTAACCCCCTCAACTTTGTTCCTCATTCCAGTTCGACGTGTCGCCAACCGATGGAGGCGCTGAACCTCATCCATAACTTCGCCTCGTTCGTGGGCGTTGAGAGGCCATATGCCCCTTCGCGACCGACTAGCAGGACCGGTAATAGCTATATTTCGCCGCTACCTCTCTAGCTCAATGAATAGATCTACAACTTGTGCATTACTTTGATATTTGCTTAACTGTGGCTTCGTTGGGGTCCAGTACATACCGGGAAACTTCTCCATGGGTGCATGAATAGGATGTGCCCACGGTATTGTGAGATGGAATAGGCTCTGGACTTTGAGAGAACTGGCTCAATGCCTTGGTGACATTTGTACATATGTTGTTAACTTCGAGCGTAAACACTGAGCTGGCAATATTCTCTACACAGTACCCTAAACCTCTATCAACACCACACACAATATAGATTTAGTTCAATGCTATTTCATAACTCGGCACACATCCAAATACTCAATAACCTTAGAATTGAGACAACGGCCTTGTATGAGGTAGACTGCTTGTTCTGAGTTCCTATGTATCTCTATAACACCAACCGCCAGGTCAACACCAGAAGGGCTAGATATGCACAGAGGCTCAATCCCGTCAATAGAGTGACCGTGTCGCCACTCGTGCGGAATTTAGGCTTAAACCGGCCGCTGCGGTTCTGAGCAGTGAAGAACTGGCGCTGACCCTCGTAGCGACGGTAGATGGCTACAAGCAGGATGGCGACGCCATAGATGGCAAAGAGAGCACCAATAGGGTAGAACTCGGCAGTGAAGATCTTGAGGATGACCAAAGCAAATGAGAACTGCCCCAGGGCCGTACGAATGTACGCGCCTTCAAAGGTGCGCTGGGCAGCGCGGAGCTCGACTAGTCTTTGGGACGGGCCAATGTGAGCATGGTGATCACGGCAGAATGGCGGCATTTGTAGGCGCATGAGCTTACTCTTGAGATGTGAGGACGAGCGACCTGGTCCCATGGAGGCGCATATATAGATGCTGCTCGGGATGCGACTGCATTCTGTTGTTAGGCGAGGCCGAGTTGCTTGCGAGAGCTTGGTGGAGACCTACCCGGAACATGGTGGATAGTAGATAGGTGGTTCCTGATAACTTGCAGAAGCACGTGCTGGCTTTGTATCGATGGTTCTGCTGGCCAGGATGATTGTGCTGGGACACCAGAGAATGAGAACAACTACATGCGTGAGGTTTTACGCAGAATTCACAACCATTGCATGTCTGAGTACAAGTTCAATAGAGCACCGGAGTGACGAGCGAGGTGCAGTTGATGGCGTTCACGAGATTAGATTTGTCACGTGGGATCGCTTGGCGCCGACAGGCACTGGATTACAGCAGATCGATACTACTATACCTACTAGGTACCTATCATAGTCTTCAACTGCCTAGTAATCATCCCAATAGATTATGCAAAAAGGAGCATTCGGCTTGAAAATTACAAAAGAACGTGAGGTTTTCCACAGCTCGTGGTATAGATGGGCAGCGAATCGTCTCAAGCTGTGGTTGGCCAACTCGAAGTAAATGAGTGGTTGTTACTAGGGTGCCCGTCTCCCAGAGTCCTACAGTGGAGATTCCGGGGTTCGATTTCACCCATTACCGAGAGCACATCACACCACGCAGGTGTTTTTCGACATTGCAATTTGCAACACAGGGAACCTATACAGCACAGCCTTAGATCCTATACGATAAATTTCGATACAGGTCCCACTTGCATCTGGAAAGCTTCCGGTATGGTGGGCCTGCGCGCAGCAGTGGGAGGAGTCGTCCCATTGCAGCAGTGCCACAGTCGCGATGGGGAGCCTGTTTAGGTAGTAATTAAGGCTGTCCAAGCCCCAGCCACTGCGGCATCTGGTGAGGGGTAATAAAAGTTGGGCGATTAGCCCATAAAATGAGCTGTAGCATCCGCTGCTGCCAGGGACTGCGCCTCAGCCCTACAATGCTTGGAAGCCAGATCAGACACCCTAGGCTGTGGACTTGGCCTGAGATAGAAAGAGGGCTGACCACGTTACCTGTGATGTGTCTGCCAAATGGGGATGGGACCAGGAGGAGGGGGGGCCAGTGTAGCAGCGACGACGGGATGCATGGACTCTGCACATTTGCTGCCAACAGGCGGCTGGCTGTACGGGAGGTAGCACTGCATCCACATCTGAGAAGAGGATGGCAGTGCCAGCACACCTCTCATATTACTGGCATCCCACGGAATCGGTGCCGTTGACACCTATAACGGCCTGCTAAGAGACCTACGCAGATATTGCCCGGTAGTGGTGAGAAGCATCGGTATTAGACTTCCGTGGCTGCCTGTGGGATCCAACACCTTGGGAATGCCATCGCCTGAGGGTTGATGTCATGATGAAACAGAGAGCGGCGCTTGGGCCGCCCAAGGACAGCGGCAATCACAACCTCGGCAGGGTCTAGGAGAGTGATTTTTTTGCACTCTTGACCGTGTTTTAACAGCGAAAATGTGATCAAGTGGGTGGAAAACGCCTTGTGCCTGTGGCTAGGAATGGCTTTCAACCTGGGCGTGGGGCATGAGGCTTGGGCCAAGCTCTGGAATGCGCCTAACGGCCCCAGAAGTAACAGTTGCCCCGGGGCAGCCTTGCAGGTCCCCAAGTACCCCCGATGTACCGATGAGCGTCTGAGGCCATAAGCTGCCAGCCCAGGAAATTGCACAATGGCGAAACCAAGTCGATGACGTGAAACAGGAGAGAGGCCCCCGGCGGAACACTGCAGCAGGCACACACAAGCGGACTTTTCCTCTGCGATCTGATCGGGCTATGGCCCGGTCGATGGCCTTGAGTCTTCAACCACAAGGCACTCTCTGCTCCACCGACAAGGTTCCTCCAGTGTACTGATAGCCGGCCCCACATCAACGATACGATACGATACAGACATCAAATGGAATTCTCCCGCGCTTGTGACCGTCCACGACATTAATCCATTTTGCTAGTTTGTCGACGCATCTACCCTTGCACTGGGTCGCAGTGTGTACGATTCGGGAAACACGCACTTGCTGGAGTTGTTGGAGTTGCTGGAGTCGGAGTTTATCCTGGCGCGCGCTCATCAGACAGCTGCCGGGCCTGACCAGTTGCGCGACGCTCCCTGCACAGCACTACCGACACACAGCTGAGAGTCGGATTATTAATCCCATCCCATCCTGGGTAGGAATACGGGATGTATGCATCTTCATGGTGAAGCTGCCGTGTGCTGTGATCGCACAATGCAACCCGAGGAGCGGTGATGAGGAGCTGGCCCCGGCCGATCACCTCTCGATGGCCACTGCATCAAACCGCTACCTGCCTCGGGAGCTTCCTTGGCTGCCTCTAATAATAAGTGTCGTGCAGCCCTGCCAGTGTGAGGTCTGGCGCTGGCGGCATTCGCTAAACCGTCCTGGGCGCGCCTGGTGGGTGGAGGGCTCTTGGCTTCAGCCAGTACCAGCAGGGTACCATCAGCCCCGGTAAGCGCTGCGCTTGGGCCAGGTACCTGCGAGTGTCGAGCGGGGACCCGACCTCAGCGCGCCTCCAGGGTGGTAGCATTTGATCCATTGAATCAATGTGCCCGGCGCCAATAGACGAGGGGCTCGTCCAGGACTCTCCCAAGCCCCACCGTCAACTCGCTCAATCAACCATCCCCGGCTTCAACTATCAGCCAGGCCGAAAGCCCAGCCTGGATCCTCCCCCCTCCGTCCTGCTCACTCGCTGGGAGGAGCCAACAGGCGTTTTACCTGCTTACAGTCCTTAAAAACATCCCTCCATTATCGCCGCCCCCCCTGTCGCTCCCAAGCCACCCACGGGCTGTGGCCAATATCGCACACACCTGCCGCCAGAACAGCCCCACGATCTCCTCTACCCCATCCATCCATCCTCAGCCCGGTTCATATGAGTTATCTCCCTCATCAGCCTGCGCGCCCTTCACCGCATAACGCACTCCGACGCTATAATCCCATGTACCTGCGCCCATCGACATTGTCCCGTCCGTGCCATGGCTAGTTACCTGATCCCACGCCCTTGACTTCACGCCCCCGATTCCCCCGCGACAGTCACTGCTAGACGGACCTGCCTTGCCCTGCCAGCCATCCAACCAGCCTGCTTTGACGTTACACCGGGACCCGGGCGACATCACCTCCTTTGCTTGGGCTACTTCCAAGGTACATCACCACTGGATCCAGAGGTATCCATCTTGTCAGCCTCAGCCGTTTGACCTGCTTTCACTAGTATCGTCTGATCCGCGGCCCGCCGCACCTTTCTCAACCTCCCGCTTTCTCTTCTACAACTGGGTCTATACATACATATTCTGCTCTCCCACATATCATAGACAGTCCGTCCGCGGCTGTCTCTCGAAAGAGATCGTCGTAATCATGAGTTCGGCATACGCCAATCCTTTCCACGCCCACATCAACCAAGAGCCCGTCTTCATCCCACTAGAGGACCCTGACTCTCTCTCCCCGCCCTCGGCTCATCACCTCGAGACCCCAGGCGCATCAACGTCGAATCTCAGCAACTACCAAGCTAGTGATATCAGTGATCTAGAAGACGATCCCTTCTTCGGCGCGGATTTCAGTTCTGCCGAAGGTGGTGTCCCTTCGTTTCTTCAGAGCGAGAATCCCGGCTGGGACTCTTCGCCATTCTCCATCAGCAACCGCTCCTCTGCTGCGTCCGAGGCGTTCCGCCATGCCGTCGAATCTACATATCCCTTGACGCCAGAACAATCGGCCTCTATCCGACCACCTTCCCCACACAGCGATCGCAGACCGACCGTCACGCGACACGTCTC